GGATCTCGGCGGGGAAGGTTTAGCCTGTAAGGCTTTGATTCATCATTGTGTCCTGAGGTGACAAAGCAGGCCTCTTTGACATGGACATCTGATGCATGCCCTGACTTCTGTCACCATAAGATTACAAATATACTTCCAGGTCATTAAAAAGTATTTGCAATTGCCATGTTAGAAAGAATTACCAAATGCCATCTTGTATAGACTGTAATATCTCACCAGTCCATAAATGGTATATATTCTATCTTGATTGATTTCTCTATAAAGCATAACAATTACACAATGCTAATAAATACTTCTTAATATCTGAAAATTAACGTTACATTATTATATTAGAAATGAGAAAAGACATGATAATGTATTTGTCTCCTTATATATTTCTAAATCACTTTCCAGAATGTACATGCTAAAATTTGTATCTTAGGATGATAATAAGACATATTTCTGAACATCAAGTATTATTTTTAATGTCTAATTAATTGACAAAACAAAAACTATTCTTGGATATTGTTTACATTTATTTAATCACAAGCTATGTGAAAAGTTTTTATATTTGTTATGTCACTTCATTATATTCTTTTTTTTTTTCCTTTGGAGAGGTTTTTGCTATAGGGCACGTGTGCTCACCAGAAAGACAGAGAGAGACAGACAGACAGAAAGTGAGAAATCACCCTCCAGGAGGATGGCCACGCCACAATCCCTTCTCCTCCATTCTCCTCTCGGGATCTTGGGCACGCACGCACACGCGCCCGGCGTGAGTTCCCATTTGGTTTTGATTTAGCAGTGGTTTTCATGACACCTATCTTCTGGCGGCAGACCAGTTGCAAAAAGCTTATGGTAATTTTCAATTTGCCTTAAATTTTTCCTTTATAATTACATCATTGTTTTCCCATTCTGAGATGCTTACTATTCCCTTGCATTTTCCTTTTGTTTCTTTAAATGTGGCATCTATATGTAAATTAATTTTATTAAATGTGTAATAATTGTATACTTTTTTTTTTTTAGTTTTTTCTCACTTGCCAGAGAAAAACAGACAGGGAAAGTGAGAAATCACCCCCTGAGGGAACCGTTGAGCTGCAGTCCCTTTTCCTGCATGCCACTCTTGGGATTTGGGGCATGCATACGTATGTGCCTGGCATAATTCTCATGTCATTGTGTCCAGGACTTGAACCACACAATACGCCACATGGGATCTAGTGCCTTAACCTCCACACCACCTGCCAGCCCAATAATTGTACATTTTTATTCACTAGCAACTAATTTCGCAATTACACTAGTTTAGAAATCCTTCATCAAGTTTATCAAAATTGTTACGAAAATAAACCTGACATAAGCTCTGTTTTATTATCAGGTCTCAAGTGAGGACCACATTTTTAACAAGATTATTATGCTTTGGAAGAATTATTAGGAAATAGGTTAGTGAATAAACAAATGGTTACTTTAATTATGACCAGATTAATTCTCCTTGCCAAATACTGAAAGATTAAATACTTTGCTTTTTTGGGTTTTCTTTAATGTTCTTATTATCCAGGCTGCCTTGACATATTTTGTTGTATTTGAATGTCTCTTGTTCCTTACACAAACTATTACAGCCCAGTTAATAGCTTAACAAGGAGATTTACATTCTCAAGTGTACAAATTTAAATATCTCTGGCCGATTTTCTAGTAGAAAATTATAGATAGTAAATGGACAGCTTCTTTGACAAATGGAATTTCTGATTTTTATATCTTAAGATCATGATGCAGTAACCAAAATTTTAACACTAAACATAAATTTAAAAATTTAAAGCATTTCTCTGTTTTTCTCTCTCTCATCCTTACACTCCCAGACACACACACAACTACACACAACACCCCCCCCCCAAACACACATAGTTTCAAATAAAAATTGTATCTACCTTTTCTGGACCGCAAATAGTACCATTATCTACATAGGTAGTATCCTTTCTCGTGTAATCTCTTAAATGTGCAGACAAACACACGTGTCCTCCAAGGTAAGTGTACTGGTAATCATAATATGTCATTGGTAGTACGCTTGAATGTGTCCAGTGACAAACTATTTTTCCACAAAATATATAGCTGAAAATATAAGGCAGAAAAGATTACCCACTTGTCAGCTATGTGCACAAAATATTAGATAAATAGCCATTCAAAACATGAGGGTAATTTTAAATGTTACCCAGATAGCAACACCAAAGCGATTTGGACCATTCGCCCATCTAGTCCATCTGCATATTCTAGATTCATCTCTAACTAGCACTGCTACTCTCTGCAGAGCACACGTAATATAAACACATGCATTGGCAAAATGTATAACTTTCTAATGACATACTTGAAATCGCAATTGGTTCCATAACAGTTTCCAAATTTGTCACCTTGATAATTCACTTCCTGTGAACACAGGTAGGAAGGACCCTTAGCAACTGAAAACAAAATTGAAAAATTCCAATTACTCATATTCAGAAAAAAACAATAACAACATCATTACAGCTTAAGAGTGTGTAAATAAATATAGAGCCATCTTGTGTATTCAATGCCATCTACTTTGAATGTGGGGTATCATCTACCAAAAAGTACATGGAGGAGAGACATTTAGTAAAAACGACCCACTTGGAAATTGAAAAAACTAGAGGCCAGCAGATGGTGTGAAGGTGAAGGCCGCTAGACCCCATGGCCAACTGTGCAACTCAAATCCCAGTCTTGGTCACTTGAAAAACATGCTGGGTACCTGGGAGTACTTGCCCCAAATCCCCAAAGGAGAATAGAGGAGAAGAGATTGCAACATGGTCGTCCCCCCTAGAGGGTGATTTCTCACTTTCCCTCTCTGTCTCTCTCAAGCAAACACATACACCTTATGGCAAAATTTTTTTAAAAATTGGAAAACTGATTGTATAGAGCGGAAATAAGTGAGAAATCAGTCATTTACTTTTTTATTTAGTATTCACATTGTTTACTCTTACTTCACTAATCACCTGAGAGAAGACTTAATGTCCTATCCTTTGGGTTTATTTTACCTCTTGACATTGTTCAAAGTATTTTCTTTTTCTTTTTTTTCTTTCTTTTTTTTTTTTTTTTTTTTTTTTTGGAGAGATTTTCGCTATAGGGCGTGTGCACTCACCAGACAGACAGAGAGAGACATTAGAGACAGAAAGCGAGGCAACCACCCCCTAGGGGGGATGGTCATATCGCAATCCCTTCTCCATTCTCCTCTCGGGATCTTGGCATGCACGCACACGTGCCTGGCAAAAGTATTTTCTATGAACAATTTTATTTGCAAATTTGGAAGTGAAAAAAAACTAACACTATAGTATTTCTATAAAATGGATTTATCACTTTTGAATAACTACAGTTTAAAAAAACAAACTCCAGAAGATATAACTATTACATTTTCCAAATAACTCTACACACTGTCTGTCTGGATCTCGGCATAGTCCTTCAAAGCAAAAGGCAGTCCTATTATTGCATGGTTCTAAATCAGCAGATCTCACATCAGCTGCACAAAACTCAGATGTTCCATTGCAGTACTCTGGAAAATCACAAAAATCTTTGCTTTTTCTACATACACTTCCTCTTTTCCTTATCTGTGAGACAAAGAAAACATACATATTTGTCAAAGTCAGTCAGACCGTTCTCCACTACAGTGTTGGGATGGACGCTGGGAAAGAGGCTACCTCTGTCTTCTGAAAAACGTGCACTATCGTCTGGAAGACCAAGGTGCTGCAACACTCTCTCCATACACGTTCGGAAAACGTGTCCCGGAGAACTGTCAGCAAAAGCAAGGAGGGCCGAATGATGCCTGGAGTAAGGATCCTGTTGCTCCATTGCTACTCCTAGAAACTAAGAGTCACCTGAACGTGCAGCCAGGCTCATTTCCTATTACGTGGCTTAAACACTTGTTTTCCTTTCCTTGCATATTCATCATCAAGACACAACTGAGCAACACATCCTTCTTATTACGGGGTACCATTTCATCATTTAAGTACCCGTAGGGAGGCCCATGTGCCCGTGAGGGACATGCTCATCCCTGATCAGTGTTCACAAAATAAATACTGGACAGACCATTGTCTTCCATATCACATGGAGATGGCTCTAAGATGAAAGTGTATTTTTAAAATGGATTAAATATCTATTGGGGAGAAATCTGCCTACTTGACAGCTGACAGAGAAAGAAGAACCTTTCACACTCACAGCAAATAAAAGTGAGAGCAGAGTGTACAACACCTGTCAGCCTTTTATGGCAGCAAAATTCCATGGCACAGCACGTAGCAGAATGAACAAGAACAATTGGGTCATTGCAAAAGTATAATGTATTTTTCTGTTTTTCTATACAAAAATGTGTCATGACTTTCCCGATGACCCAGTCATGTAGCACGTTCAGTTCTTATACCTCAGGCCCTTTCTAGCAATTTGTACCCTGATTTTTCATTCTATCAAATGCAGCAACAATAGCCATTTGTAAGAATTCCTTTTTTAGGTTGTGAACAGAGTTGCAATGCACTGGGTTTTGTTTTGTTTTGTTTTGTGTTTTTAATCTTATTCTACAATCCCATGGATTTGGAACTAAAATTCAAAGGACGAGCTCTGGTGAAGAGAAAGCAACGAGGGTAAGAGCTGAGAAGGGGAGGCCCGAGGCTGGCCTCTGCCTTCATGCACCTTGTAAACAAATGACCATTGTCTTCATCACAGGTTCCTAGAGCAAAAAAGAACAGCTTGTCAAAGCGTGTCTTGAGTATTTCATATGCTACAAATTGCTGAATGTTCTACATCGATTCGTCTTCTGCTACTTTTAAAATGGGATTTTTTTTATTATTGTATCTACCTGAATATTGCAAGGCAAGTATGCATGGTGTGGTTTATTTATAATTTTGCTATGTTATTTAATCATAAAGAGCAACATTTTTGTCATGACCAAGAGAAACTTTTACAACAAAATAATCTGAAATTGGTATGATATGTAATCATTAGAGAGGTCTTCAGTGGAGAGTCCGACAATACAATGAAAAAGAGAACTAAGAAGAAGGTTGAAAGAAACATAAAGATACCTTCTCAACCCTGAAATCAATGGTTTATGAATCAAGGTTCTGTCATTTACCATCACTAAATTATCTTGAAAACAAATGAAATACTACAAATAATGGGAAATATTCTAAATATACACCCCAGTATGAAACAACACATAGCCTTTAAAACTATGCTTTAAGAAATATTTAATGATGTGAAAAAATATATTTATGCTATTAGAAACTATAGTAGAATGACAGCAATTTAAAAAAGAAAAAAAAGCCTTATGAAAGACTAGAAGGTAAAATATTTGAGAATCAGACCCACAGCTTCATGATTAAGAGAGTTGAATACCACAGCCAACCATGGCTCGAATCAGATCGTATGTGAATACATGCCAAAAATTCAGCCAGGATGCAGAAACAGAAGAGAAGGGAGTCGCACGATTCCACCCACGGGGCGTGCTTCTTCCTGTCCCTCATGCGCGCACCTGGCCTCTGACAATCAAAAACGAAACTAACATTTTTGAAAGATCATGTTTAGAAAAAGTGAATGCATGAGAATGGAAAAAAATTCATAAAAGTAATATTTTCAAAACTTACTGTACAAGTTTTTGTATCACAACAAGTTCCAGAGCCACAGTCTGCAAGTCCAATTAGAGTACAATTGTTAGGATAACAGCATTTTTTATGAGTACATCCCTAAAAGCAAATAAAATCCAGTGAAATAAATTTTATGTACAAAATAGACTAAAGGATGTCTCTAACAGCTACAGGTATAGGACGGCTTTTAACTTCCGTACTTATATTTAACACTACTTCATTTAAACTTAACATATTTTCCCCAGCAGCTTAAAAATCAGGCCAAGCCTGTGTGTGTGCATGCCGTAAATCCTGACAGAACTTAGAAACAGAGCAAAAGGGATTGCTGCATGGCCGTGTCCCACTGGGGGGTGCTTTCTCCCTCTCTCTCTCTTTCTCTCTGTTTTCAGAGAAAAGGAAAAGAAAATGAAGAGTATTTAGTGAACATGGAAGACTGAACACACATAAACATTAATGACAATAACAAAGGTAAGGTAAGTAAGAAAAGAGGTAGTGGACTTGCAACGTTGTAGGAGGATCTCACTTACATGGCTGGTCTGCAGAAAAGATACTTGCCAAATTTATGGATATAGTACACAAGATATTATAAAGCAGGCCTGGGACGATCTTAATAGCAGATCTCAAAGTCCAGACATTTAAGTGTTGACTAGGAACTACCTGCCAACAATTCAGTAAAAAAGCCCTTAGAGATTTCTGAAAACCAGGATTAATACAGAGGTTATCTAAATTGATCTAAAACTGAGGCCCCATTCTTGTATAAGTATTTTTTTTTTTGAGAGGTTTTTTTTTTTTTTTTTTTTTGCTTTAGGGGTTTTCACGCTCCCGAAACGAGAGAGACAGAAAGCGAGAAATCACCCCCTAGGGGGCATGGCCACACTGCAATCCCTTCTCCATTCTCCTCTTGGGATCTTGGGCACACATGCACATACACCCAGCGTGAATTTAAGCCACCAGGTCTGGGACTTGAACCGCGATTCAACTACACGGGAGTCCAGTGACATAGCCATTATGCCAACTGCTAGTCCCATCCTTGTATAAGTTAAAGCACAGACAATCAACATTGAATTCTCTGGAAGACAAACTATCAAAAAATAGTAACAATAATAGCATTCTCAACTTAAAATATAAAATTTGGGTTTTTTGGAGAGGTTTTTACTAGAGGGCACACATGCTTGCCAGAAAGACAAGAGAGAGACAAAGAGATAGAAAGCGAAAAATCACCCCCTGGGGCATGGCCATGCTGCAATCCCTTCTCCTCCATTCTCCTCTCAGAATCTTGGGCATGCACACACATGTGCCTGGCGTAAGTTTAAGCCACTGGGTCCAGGACTCAAATCACAGTGGGAATTACACGTGTTTAATAATATAAATATAATAAAAACATAATGTTATTAATATACTTATGGAAAATTTATATATAAACATATATATTTATACATATGAAGCTATCCAGCTATAATATATGTGTCTATATATAAACATAGGTATTTATAGCTAAAAAATAAATATTTTTCTGTATATAAACATATATACATATGTGTATGCATATAAAAACATATAGTATATCTATACAGAGAAATATAGAGAGATAGAAACATATGTATATAACACAAACATACATAAGGAAAGATTTTAAAAGTTTGTGGAAAAATGGAATTAAGTTATAAGGAGAGTTTTTAAAAGTTTGTGGAAAAATGGAATTAAGTATGAGTTTATTTTGGCAATCTGAGATTTCATAAAATTTTTGGAAAAACTTTTGGAAATTTTGAACTGCTTTTTCATAATACACATTTTCTTTTCTTTCTTTCTTTTTTATTTGTGTGTATTTTTGTTTTTAGGTTTTTGCCATAGTGTATACTTGCTGGAGAGAGAGAGGGAAAGTAAGAAATCACGCCCCAGGGAGGATGCCACATCGCAATCCTTTATCCTCAATTATTCTCCTGGTATTTTGGGGTGTCCATGTACAGGCACCCAGTGTGATTTTCAAGCTGCCAGGCCCAGGACTCAAACCACAGTTGCCCATGCAAGAATTCAGCACTTTAACTACCATGCCACCGCTGGCCCCCATAACATGCATATTCTATAAATTGTTTAAAGACTCCTTTCTCTCTATATATATATACATTATGTGTGTGTGTGTGTGTGCCTATATAATAGCCTTCCCAAATTCTTTCTTCAATTTGTGTTTATATTAATCTAGTTTCAACTTTATGATCTAATATTCTCACATTTTAAATACATCATTTGTTATTAAAAATATCTTATATTGGGATCAGCAGATGGTGTAATGGTTATGTGACTGAACTCCTATGTCTGCCTGCCCAAAAGAGAATGGAGGACAAGGGATTAAGGCATGCCCTTTCTGCCTGGTAGGTGATTTCTCACTTTCTATCTCTTTATCTCTCTCTGTCTCTCTGGCAAGCACATATGCCCTGTACCAAAAATCTCTAAAAACGAAAAAAGAAAGAAAAAGAAAGAAAGAGAGAGAGAGAGAGAGAGAGAGAGAGAGAGAGAGAGGGGGGGAGGGAGGGAGGGAGAGAAGTATAATTTAGCACTATTTTTGAGATAAATTTCTCATTGCTCAGGCATTATTCACCTGTTTAATAACTCAGAAATTCCACATCTAGATTTATAGCCAGGAGACTATTTTGCACATCAGGAGTTAACTAGGAGACATAATCCAACTCTATGGAATGGAAAAATCAATCTATGGATGCTCTAAATTATCTTAAACAAGGAAGACAAGTAACTGTATATTCCCAGACCTCATTATTACACAGAAAATGAATAGATGAACTACATTCACACTCAAAACATAGATATTATTAATATTACACAGGGAACAAAAATCCAACCCCAGAAGAGTATGTGATTTTTTTCAGGATTTTGTTTTTTGTTTTGTTTTGTTTTTGCCATAGGGCATGTGTACTTGCTGGAGAAAGATGCAGAGAGGGAAAGTGAGAAATCATCCCCCAGGTGGATGCCCACACTGCAATCCCTTCTCCTCTGTTCTCCCCTGAGGATTTTGGGGACACACACATACGTGCTTGGCACGATTCTCAAGCCACTAGGTCCAGGACTCGAACCATGGTCAGCCATGTGGGAATCCAGTGCCTTAACCAGCACACAACCTGCTGGTCCCTTTGCTACATTTTTAACTGCTTTAAAATGGAAAGTTAACAAAAACTATGATACGATTATTTTTTAAATGTATTTTTAAACAAAGATTTCTGGTCATATTTACTTCTCAGATAGCAGAAAGGGTGCAAAATAAAGAACAGCTAAGCAATGCATGTGCCGTGGTGGGGCTATGTACATTCTCAACCAAACATTATGGTTAACACAATATTGGGACTCTAGTTAAGATAAAGTTCTCACAGATACAAGGTCTGAAATCAGCACTCGAGAGAGACAACAACCAGTATTTCATAACTTAGTGAAAAATTAATATCACGGGGGACCAGCAGTTACCATAGTGGCTATGTTGCTAAACTCCCACGTAGTAGACCGCAGTTTGAGTCCCAGACCCAGTGGCTTAAACTCACGTGGGGCATGTGTGCGTGTGTGCCCAAGATCCCAAGAGGAGAATGGAGGAGAAGGGACTGTGGTGTGGCCACCCCCCCCGGGGGGTGGTTCCTCGCTTTTTATCTCTCTGTCTCTCTCTATCTTGCTGGCAAACGCGCACACCCTATAGCAAAAACCTCTCAAAAAAAAAAAAAAATGAGGAAGAAATTTTTTTTAAAAAATTAGTATCACTTTGGAGAAATTAAGGTGATCATGTAAGGGATGATCATATTATTGATGCTATTGATATTTATGGTATCAAAACAGAAATAGCTATTGGTTATACAGAGATGAAAATCTTATTTATTTAAACTTTGCTATCCTTAGCTGGTATTCAGAATCTTCAAATCTCCAGATTCAGGAAAAGTTGGTAATTGTATGGTACATACCTCCCTAGTTATTGGACATCTTTGATAAAAATAGTACAGCATTTAGTTTTTAAAGCACTTCCTTTTTATTTATTTATTTATGTATTTATTTTTTGAGAGAGAGATTTTTGCTATAGGGCACATGTACTCTCCAGTAAGACAGAGAGAGACAGAGAGACAGAAAGCGAGAAATCACCCCCCAAGAGAGAATGGACATGCCGCAATCTCTTCTCCTCCGTTCTCTTCTCAGGATCCTGGGCGCACACACACTCACCCAGCATGAGTTTTAAGTCGCTGGGTCCGGGACTCGAACTGCGGTCATCTACATACAATTCCAGCAATGTAACCATTGCCATCTGCTTATCCCAAATACTTCCCTTTTGTATTATATCTAAAGCTCCATGAGAAACACTAAAACAAGTCTGTGGATAATTTCTTACAGTTTGTCACTAACCTCCTCCACGCCACAGTCACATTCTTCTGGTGGCTCCAAAATAGCATTACCACAAAGAGCAGCACTTTGCTGAGCCACTTTGGGAACTTTTGCACTCTGAAGACATTCAAATTCAGGCTGTGAGACGATCTTTTTAAATTCTTCTATGCTGCAATTGCTAAAAAACTTTACACCACTGGATGGTCTAAAATCAAATTGTATTCTTCAGGTAAATGGGATAACATTAATATCGAAATAACATTCATCAAGAAGATGCTATAAACTCTGAACTACTTCACAAGAGAGGAGCTAAGATTGAGGGGAGAGTAACTCTGACACAGGTTGCAGACAAAAGCAATAGGCTTGTTTCTCTCGTAATTCTATATGTCAGACAACCAGAGTAGAGGAAATCAAAGAGGCATGTGCTAGCAATCTCTGGCCTACATACAGTAAGCTCTCTTACACTGTAAAGGTTAATGTAGGCATAGTTACTATTGTAAGAAGCTCACATGGTCATTTTAAAATAAAACACACTAAGCAATTATGAGAAAAATTTCAAGAAATAAAAGATGGTCAATTGGGTTAACAGAAAATCATAACTACTTGTTCTTTGGCAACAACAAAGTTAACCAAAGAAAGTATTTCAACTGAGGGCAATTAAACGTACAAGCTTGAGATTCCTTTTTTTTTTTTCCAGCTTTCACATTTTAAATTTCTATACTTTTTTTTTTTTTTTTTTTTTTTTTTTAACAG